GTTAACCAAGATTACTATTTGGAAGTGCTGAAAAGGCTACATGAAAAAGTTAGACGACCTGAACTTGTCGCCAACAATTCATGGCTCTTGCGTCACGACAATGCACCAGCTCACACGGCACTGTCTGTGAGGGAGTTTTTAGCCAGGAAACAAACTGTATTGGAACACCCTCCCTACTCACCTGATCTGGCCCCCAGTGACTTCTTTCTTTACCTGAAGATAAAGGAATTTTTCTTTTTTTTTTAAGATTTTTTTTATTCGGGAATTGGGGGAAGGGGAACAGACAAGTTGCTGTCCTTTTGTTCTTCAGTCTAGTGGAGGACGTTGCTTCACTGGCCCAAGTTGGCACCATCATTGCGCTCTTCCCAGGCGAGGCAGATCAGTCGCTGGCTTGGAAATATTGAAAGGAATACATTTTGATGACATTCAGGACATCAAGAGTAATATGACTACATATCTGGTGGCCATTGTAGAAAAAGAGTTCCACAGTTGCTTTGAAGGGTGGACTAGGCACTGGCATCAGTATATAGCTTCCCAAGGGGAGTACTTTGAAGGTGACCGTAATGATATTCAGCAATGAGGCATGTAGCACTTTTTTCTAGGACGAGTTCGCGAACTTAATTATCTGACCTCATATGTATATAAACTTAATCACTTTATTACCCCTTACCGAAAAGATTGAACTGTGACAGGAAACTTACAAAAAGACAGTGTAGAAAATGACCATAACAATTCTTGCAACTGTGTCAGAAGTGACAGAGATGCTGCTGCTTTTCGTGGAATGCAGTACACAGATTTAGTCTCAGTGATGGCAGTAAGGATGTCATAAATGTGACAATTTGCATGTGACCCACTGAGGATCTTGGGCTTTTGCATTTATTTGTGTGGGACAGGCCAGAAACTCGGCAAGAAAAACAATCATTTTCTTTGCATTAAAACTTTTGTTTTTAGATGTCTGCTTACCTGGTTATTTCTCTCTCCCCTCAGGCAGAAAAAGTACATGAGTTGAATGAAGAAATAGGAAAACTTCTTGCTAAAGCTGAGCAGCTGGGAGCTGAAGGAAATGTGGATGAATCCCAGAAGATTCTTATGGAAGTGGAGAAAGTCCGTACAAAAAAAAAAGAAGCTGAGGTGGGTGAGAAAAATGCCTTAGGGATTTGGAGGTTGTTAAGGGTTCCTCACCTTTACAGACAGTGTCCCTGCACCTGTGTACTGGTGAATGTGAGTGTATTCTAGGACATGACACCTGGAAGGAGAGTGTCGGTAATGGCACGTTCGTGTCCACTTTCACAGGTAGAGCACTACAGTGCACTCCACAATTATTGTACCAATGCAGGCGCCTACCCTCATGTGGGAGGGGCCTGTTTTCCTGTGTCTGCCAGTTTAGTGAGAATGACGTATTTTAATTTGCATTTGCTAGGGAATGTTTTGAATGTGAACTAATGGAAGATTACTTATATTCAGGTCTCCCTTTAAATAAGGATAAATGACGATTGGAATGTATTTCTTAAACCTGGATTTTGAAGGAGTGTTTTAACTTGAGCACCAGCAGTCACTATGTCCTGGTTTACTCTTGTATCTCCTGTGTTTTGAGGCTGAGTGAGTGACTTGTTGTGGTTGGACTCCAACTGTAGGGACTGCAGGAGGGGAGTGTNTTGCTTCACTAGCCCATGTTGGTATTGTGATCATTGCGCTCTTCCCAGATGAGGCAGATTGATCGCCGGCCCCTGGACAGCAGCTCATGCTGGCTGCTGGCCACTCACAGTAGCTTATGGCAGCCCACTGCAGCAGGGGCTGCAGCCTACACTGTCCCTGAGAACTCATGGCAGCCCAGCTCCAGGTCAAGCTGTTGTTCACCATCTTAGCTGTAGAGGGCGCAGTGTCACTGACCCTCGTGGGATCCGAACCGGGGCCCTGCTGTTCAGAGCTGGTGTTCTAAACCAGCTCTTAACCAATGCGCCAGTTGACCGGCCCTGTAAATATTCTTTAATATCTTCTTGGTACATGTGTACAAGGATTCGTCTGGGATATATTCCTAGGAGAGAAATCAGTAGCTTGTAGGGAATGCACGTGGTTATCCTTTGAAGATTGTTTTGTACTATCTTTTTCTTTTCTCTGTTGTTTGATAAAGTGGCTATATCAACATACACCCCAATAACAGTGTATACATCCTCACCAACACTTGGTATTATCAGACTGTTAAATTTTTGCAATTTAGTGGTTGTAAAATGGCATTTCACAACTTTTTTTTCATTATTGCCTTCCAAGGGAGGCTTTTGAAAATCTTTTTTCCTAACCTGTCCTCCTCTTTGTGACACCCTGGATATCATGATGGTACCAAAGATACCCTGCATATTAATTTGTGTACTATGATCCTTTCCAGGCCACAAACCATTGTAATATCTAAGATTATTTTTCACCGTTTAAGACCAGTTTTCACCCCTGTCCCCATTCAGAATGCATGACTTAGAGCCACTCCATTTTAATTTTATTTATCCCTAATTCTCCATCACTAGTCTGACCAGAGGTGGGAAGAGGGGTTCGATGCCATTCAAGTCCCTGAGTTGAAGACTGGGAATGGGGACTGGTCTTTTTTTTTTTTTGGCGGGAGGGACCGATCTTGATATGAGGAAGCCAGAGGAAAAAAACCCAAGGAAAGGCATTTTCCCCCAAAAGGACATTTTAGAGGATATATTGTTGGAGTACATACTATTTAAACCCGTAGTCTTAAAAAGTGATTTAAATTAAGAATTCTTTTTCAAATACATTCTTTGAGAACTCTGCTCTCAGTGTTGAATCTTGGAATTAACTAAAAATGTTTTTAGTAACAGCTCAATTAACAGATGGGGCTTAGAAATAGTCTTCTAAATTGTGAGTTTTAATTCTTCAGTAACTTAAAATGCTTATGTAAAGAGGTCATTACCTTGGTATGTGAGGATTCAGAAACTGATAGGTATGCAGATGTATAAGTTGAAATCTCAGTTTTAGTAATGTAGCTTTTTTTGGATCACAGAGCTCAGCATTCCTATTAAATCAGAAGGTCAGTGCAGTTTTTAAATAGCCCGATTAAATTAATGCTAGAGAATAAATAGAAGGCATTGAAACTATGAAGAGAGACTGAAATATATGTAGTAATTTAGTTTATTATGAAGCGTGTGTGTTCAGCCAGACTGGAGAAGATGGGTTTTCAGTGAAGTGTTGAAAACTAGATTAGCCAGTTGGAAAAATACCAAGTTGGACCCCCCAAAAGGTGAATTTTGTTTTGTCATCTTGAGATGTTATAAAACCTAGAAGCTATAAGAGTAAGATGGATACATTGTCCATATAAAAACTTAAGACATTAGCATGTGGAAAATTCCCATACATAAAATAAGACAATAAACTGGGACAAAAACGTGCAATATATATGGTGATGGGTGAGTTTCCTTTATGTAGTACATCCTCAATGCCGTTGGTGGGTTTTGTGACTTTAAGTGTAATGATATATAAAGAAACAATTTTACCATAGGCTACTGGATATAATGAGTCAAGTTCCTTCAGCATTTCATTGATGTTGAACAAAATGATGTTATATGAGGATTGCTGTATATAAAATTGATTATGAGTAACAACAGTATCAATAGTTCAATAGAAAATGGGCAAAGGACAGAAAGGGACATTTCCCAGCAGGTATCTCATCCTATGGCAGGTGCTTACCTCCTCTCAGAATTAAAGAGATGGAGAGTTAAGTAATCCTGATACACATGGATAATTGAGCATCTCAGGATGTGAAAACACACCCCAGCAGTGCCAGTCTTGTGAGTATATCTGACTGATACTTATGCATATGTACAAAGATAAATTTGCTCCAGAATATTTTTACAGCATTATGACTGCAAAAAGCAGGAACCAAGTAGACTCCCTTAGTGAGGACTGGCTAGATCACAGCTCTTTACAATGGAATGATACATACCTGCGAAAAGAGAATCGAGGCAAGTCAGTGTATGTTACTGTGAAATTACCTCTAAGATGATTAAGTGGAAAAGCACAGTGTGGTACGATGCTTCCATAGCATGTGTTTTTATTTTTTTATTTATTTTTTATTATTTTTTAAAAGATTTTTATTGGGGAATTGGGGGATGGGAACAGTGCTGGGGAATTGGGGGAAGGGGAACAGACAAGTTGCTGTCCTTTTGGTCTTCA